TCATTTCCTTTATCTGCTTGGCATGTGGCAGAATGAAACCAATACAGTGCAATTTTTATGTGACTTTTTTACAAGGAGGGCATTTGAGACTACCACAAAGCTAGTCAAGTGATGTTTCTAATAATACTTTTGCTAAATAATGATGTTATGTACCTAAGTTCTTCCGTCCAGTTCTACTAAATGAAGGAGGAAAAAACCCCAAAATGCAAGTTGAACCTATTAAGAGAAAAAGATTGTTTTATCTAGGTGGCCTTTGTTTTTCCTCTCCATGCCTGCTTCTCTCCCCTCCTCTTTTATGGTCCATTGCAGTGTTTAGCATCTACAAAATCAGTTTGCATCCATTTTTTTACAGATCATCCACTTCTGTGAAGATTTCATCATCATACACTAATCTTTTTTTGGTTTGCTATTTGATTCCCCCACACACACACTCCCCCATTTTTCCTGTCTCAATGAAAAAAATCTAATTGGTTGTGTCAAAGCAAAAATGGGAAATACTTGGTTTTGAATATAGCCATATGAGTACCTTACCAGAAAGAAGGGCTGTCCTCTAGGTTTCTGGAAGTGTTTTAAACAGCGTTTGTTACATAAAATTATGTAACACTGGTCTGTGTTATGAAGTCCGTAAGGTTTCAAGGCATTGTATTCACAGCAGAGGTTAAAAAATTTAAAGGATCCACTTTGTGTGTGTTCCTTTTAAATCTTGTATCTCATAACTGTGAGTGCAGTAGATGGCCTGTGTCGCAGAAATAAACAAACAAACAAAACCCCCCAAAACCAAACCAAACAAAACAAACCAACCAACCAAAACCCAAACCAAAACCCCATAAAAGTTGTTTAAATGAACAGTTAATTTATAGCCAATCAGAAATGCTTACTCAGGAAAAAAGAGAAGGTAACAGGAGAGACAAGTCTGTTATTTCACATTCCATGTTGTTTTAAGGTAATGCTTATCTGTCTTAATGCACCAAGGTAACCAAACCCCATTTTTCAGATTTACATGTGAAAGCACTCATAAAAATCAGCAGTTCTGGAAAAAGACAAGTCAGAATTAGTTGTGGATTGTTTTACTTAACACTATGTAAAAATGTACCAACAGCCATATCCCTTTTCCAATATATGAGACTCTTTAATATTTTAAGTTGTACTACTGATGTGGTTCAGGTATATAATCAAGCATCTTGCACGTATTAGAGATGTTGCTGGGGGATAAAAGATATGTGGGATTGAGTTTTTTGTCATCTCTAAGGTTACTTAGTGACAAAAGATCAAGAACGTGCAAGACTAACTTTCTGAATAAAAGATACTACTTTACTGATCCTTTACGATATTATAGTGTCTTTTTAAAAAGCATGGAACTAAAAACTTAAGAATTATGAGGAAAAAATAGAAGTACTGTGGGCAAACATTAGGGAGATTAAAAACAATCTGACTTGGTTCCAATTTTTAATCACTGTACACATCTCTCTTTTCCCTCCATACTTCTCCCTGCTTACGTCAATTTTTTTTTTTCAGCTATGTGAGGCAGTATCTTGGCTCACTTTTTTTTTTCCTTATTATGTTTAGATTTTCCATGTGTTACCCAGATAATCTGGTAATGTTCATCTGCTTTCCGTAGAATTCAGTACTGCATTCTGAAACTAGTCCCTTCTCTTGGGATTTTTTGCTGTGAAACACGGGGTGCTATATGAAGTATTTAAACATCTATAATAATGTTAAACATTTTAAAAGATAAAAACTAATTTTGAAGAAAACTAATTTTATTTAATCAGTCACAAGCCTGTTTTCCTCAGAAGAACATGCAGTTTAAATCCATACCTGTCCACCTCTTCAGTATGACAACAGAACACCTTAGAGCTAGAAAAGTAGGGTAGAGCTTGTAGGCTTCCTCTTCAAAACTATCAGATTTTTCACATAATAATTACTTTAAAATACGTATTTTGGGTGCATGCTTTCTACCTCTTAAAAATGGGGTTTGCCTACCATCTTCTTTTTGTCCCATGATTCATGAAGGATAAGGGGCAGTAGGTGAAATTAATTACTGGTTTTGTAAATTGTTTGCTCAGCTCCCTGTAGTAGTTCAAGGGATTTGTTCTAGCCCTGGTTTAAGTAACACGAGCCCAAGGAGTCCATCATTTCCTTTGAGTGCTTTGCTATCTAAGAGATAATCTCTGTCAGGAAATTTGCCCCGCTATTCGAGTCCGCACTTGGGTGGGTGAGGTAGTTGCTTTCTTCACAACTCCTTGGGCCCTTCTAAATTATTCTTTCTTTTAGATTTTATAACTTGCAAGTAATTTTAATGGCCTATCATGTTCCCTTTAGCCTTTCCCTGCTTTCTTACTGTGCTCTCTTGCATCTTGTTTAGAGCAAATGTACAAAAAGCTTTTTTATCTTTGGTGTTGTTACCGCAAGATACCATAAATACAGCCAAACTCTTAATAGAAACACTTGAATCAAACTTTCATTGCAAATTCTAATGTGGTAGCAATAGACCCTCACGGATCATTCAGCCTTAATGGAGCTATTATATTGACAAGTTTATATTAGCCAAATCACTCATCGTTCCTTGACAAGAGTAAGAAATATTGAGGGTTTTACAGTCAGCTATAAATTTTCCTATGGGAGATGGGAAAGAGATTCATTGCATAGGAGGTTAACGCAGTCACTTTAAAAAGGGATCTTTTAAAAAAATCATGGTGCAATGTTTCTGGTCTGATGCAGAAAGGAGGTCGATGGAAATCGTGGTAGTGATTCCCAGAGTACTTGGCAAGAATCTAACTTATTAGTCTCTCTGGGAGGGATTCATGTAACCTAGTTCTGGAAATCCTAAGGTAGACAACTAAAAGAAATCCCATGACTAGTACTGTAGAAGTCTATTTTACTTCCCACTGATTGAAAAGGAAGCTTAGACAACTAGTTCAAATGAAGAATTCTGTATTGTTGAGTATGTTTATATGGACAAGCGAAATCCCACCTGATTTTACCCATAGAGTGGATGTCAGGCTGAGATTCAGCTCAGGCCAGAAGCTGTGACTGTTGTTTACCAGCAGATTCAGTTAGTATTCTCCTTGTTGACTAGATATCTTTCCAGTCAACTGCAGCGTGGTTAATTTTTATCTTAAATATTGATTACAATTTAAAACAACAACAACAACAACAACAAAGAAACCAACCAAAAAATAACAACACAAAACAAAGAAAACCCTTCTGCAGTAAATCAAACATAAGACAGTCCCAGAGTTGTTACTTGAATTCTGAAAACTGCTCTCAGAAGAAAGCACACAGAAATTGTGGAAAAGGTTGAGAGAATGATGGTACTTTGAAGAAGTAGCAACATTCTGGGGAAATTGAATTGTGTAAGAAACTCAAAACATGAAAATTTCTGAGATGCATTCTGTTTGAGCTAAGAACAAGAAGTTAATTATCTATAAAATAGAAATTCTGGAGGGCAGGGGGAAATTTCAGGATTTGGTAGAAGAGTGAAATGTGAAAATTTTTAGAGAAGTAGTTTTAAAAAACAAATTTTGTCTGAGAAGGAAGAGGGGAAAGAAATTGGACGTTTTGAGCATAGTGATATGAAGACAGAAATGTAAAAGCTTTGAGAAACTACAGGAGAATTGGGAGTCATGGCTCTCGGACTTCCTTGGGGTTTTTAAATCAGGTGAGATGCAGCTTTAGTATAAGACCTCAGGGCTTGAGACCCCTCCTGTTCAGCAAAAATCTCTAGTCCTCTGGGTTCATTTTGTATGGTAAAGTATCCCGAACAGGGACAGGGAGAGACTCTGACTTTCCTAGAAGCCTGACAAGTAGCATACTGAATATTAGTCAATGGTTATTTGAAGATGATTGTGATGTTGGCTCCAGCCAAAATCTTAAATTTAATTTTACAGGAATTTGTACTGTATCACTGTTCTAGATTCTTGGTAGTTAACGAACTAAACTTGCAAGGGTACTTATATATGAAAACAGAAGAGTTAATCTAATCTAAATTTTCAGTGAAGAAAGGAGTGACTCTGAGTGGAACCTGAAGAACTTTTCTTTCTTATGTCTGTTGTTGTGCTTATTAGGGCTCTCTGTAAGAGTGGGGGCAAGGAGAGAAGTGTAGTAAGAGTAACTTTACCATTATTGCTCTATACTTTTTTTTTCTTTTTTTTTAAAAAAAAAAAAAAAGCTAACCAACCAAACCACAGCAAACCAGTAAGAAATAAAAAAACCCCAACCTCCCAAGAGCTCCTGGCTTCATGTAACGTTAGATCAATGTATCTCATTATCGAGAGAATGTTGCCATCTAGTGGACAACAAAACTGTATCTTAGCTCCAAATTGTCCCGTTTTTATTTACTATCTTTAAGAGTCTGAGTTTCCTTTAACTCAGTATAGATATTTGCAAAAATTGGCTTTCTACATGTATTTTCATTTTCTAGATTTCTGCGTGTTCTGTGGAGCATCTCTCTGAGTTATTGCATGTGCAGCTTTTCAGCACTTAGAGCCTGAAGGTTCTGTGTATCATACACCAAATAATTCAAGTGTTTTCTCACTTACCATAAGGAAGGATCTATATGGCATGACAAAAATTGGCCAAGAAATTGGACATTTAAAGTTTCTCAACTTTAATGAAAAAGTTAAAAAATAAGGTACCAATTAAAATTGATTTTTAATCTGACATTGTCCCTTCTTTTCTGCAAAGATTTAACTTGTTATGAAAAATAGAGAAGATCAAGTATTGATTCTTAAATCTCTTTACCCTTCTTGTACATCAGGAAAACTTACTTTCTCACTTGAGAGCCTCACACTCTTTTTATTCCTGCTTATACTCTTTTCTTTTTACTAGGTATTTAATTATGCACCCACCAGCACGACCCCCAGGAGTATCTTATGCTACTTCTCACTCTTTTGCCCACTCTTATACCCTGAGTGGTTTGTATAGGCCAAGATTACCTGTATCTGGTCATCAAAATGTGTCATCCAGAATGTTACAGGGAAAAAAAGTTGGTATGCTGCTTCCGTTGAGTTCCACTATACCTTGGGGAAAATACTGACTCATTAATATCAAAACTCTCACTGACTTGAACAGAGGCAGGACATGCATGGGTTTTTTTCTAGGTTCCTCCCAACTTCTAGAACTACATTGTAAGCAGGAGAAAAAGAAGATCAAGCCCAAAGCACAAATAAGTGCTTACTTTCTCATGTTGGGTGTGAGTTTTGTGGGAAATGGTCACTATTTTTGCATTAGCCTCCTCTATATTAAAGCAATGTTCCATATATAAATCTTAAACTGTGCACCCAGCAGTCACCGCAACCTGTAGATGTTTAGCCCCTAAGAGCACTATGGGAAAGCTCAGAGTATGTGCTCTCTTTCTTTGTTGCCTCCTGGTGACTATCTATAAATCTTTGTTAAAACATTGTATTATTTTAATTAAATAATGGTAAATTGCAAGTAGCACCATTTCCATATTCACTGTATGAACCCCATGGCATCAACCAGAGAAACTTATATTGCTTTATAGGTATGGAGGGGGAATCACTTTCTGCAGAAAGGTGACTAAGAGAGAAATTCATCCTTCTGCACAACTCATCTCCAGTCCAACATACTAAGGAAAGATCAGGAAGCAAGGATAAACTAATTTCCATGAAGTAGAAAAACTGTTTTCCCACTTTCCTATAAGTTATTTAAAACTATTTGAAGTTCATTTCTTAGAGCACATCCTAAACATTTCTGTGGTTAGTGTTGATAGATCTAGCTGTGATCAAGCTGTGGTATTAGAGTGGTGGTCTCCAAGACCAGCTCAGAGACTTGAGTGTGCCCTGGTGCTGCAGAACTTAGGTGGTTGTTCTGTGGGCAGGGTGAGTGCATTCAGACCCAGGCAAAGGGAATGTGTGGAGTGAGGTTTGGGGTGTTTGGGTTTTTTTGTTTGTTTGTTTTAAATTTTTCATAAGCTATTTAGTTTCAGTGAGGTAATTCTTTAGCAACTTTCTTTTCTATGTTAATACCTGTGGCAAAGTGAAGAAAGAGCCTTCTGCTGTGATTAATCACAGAAAGGCGTTTTTTCTTTTTAACTGATGATCAAAGAATCTGAAAAACAGACGTGTCTCCTCCTTGATGTCTTTACACCCAGAAAACATGTCTTAGTAGAAAGAAAACTCGGGATGAGAGAGCCTCATTTGGCTTATGCTGTTTAATACCATTAGAATTAGACTCTTCCTATTTAATTAACATTTCTTGAAATAATGTCCCTGTTTGATTCTAACTACTAGTTCTCACAGTCAATTGATACAGTGAAGTCAACCACTAGTTCCAACATTATGTGGATGGTTGAATGTTAATTATTGGTTATAAATTTTGCCTTAATTTACTCCCTAAAAAAAATAGGTTGAATCCTGAAAGGTTTCTTTCCCATAGTCTCAATTTCAGGTAGCTGACATTTATGCTGAGACATGTATTATTTAGATATGTAGTTCTTCAGCCTTTATTCCTTGTCTCAGTGATGTTTATTGTTTAATGGAACTCTGCAAAGCAGCAAAGGCTTAGTTTTGTGTGGTTTTCTGTATTGTGGTTTTTTGTTGTTTTTTTTTCTTTATGCTTTATGATTTTTGTATTCTGTTTTTTTCTGTTTCTGGTTGCTGTTTTGTTGAAGGGACACTTGTTTTTTTTCTTTAGATTCTTTGGTTAAAACACCTTTTTCTTCTAATGTAATTGTTTAGGGTAAGTGATGAAAAAGATGCTCGAGGTTATCTTCAAGCCTTGGCCTCTAAAATGACAGAAGAACTAGAGGCCCTGAGGAACTCCAGTTTGGGTGCAAGAGCTACAGTAAGACGCTACTTCCATATGTCAGATTTTTTTGTTGTTGTTTGAAAAAACACTAATTTTATAGTTTCAACTGCAGTAATAACCTGTCTGTAAGAGCCTGCGTTAGTCAAAAGTTAAACTTCCCTAGAGTTTCCCTTGTGAATAACTGAATAGCAAATTTATTGTATAAAGATATTGGTGTTTAATTAATTGATATAATGTGATTTTATCTATGATATTGTTCAAGTAGCCACTTTATAGTTATGTATGAATTTGTTGAAGGAAGGCTATACTTTGGGTCACGAAAGCCTTAAAATCTTTCACTTGTGAAATGTGAATGTCCTTCATAGCTGTCATTTGAGTTGAGGCACATCAAAACTAGAATTCACAAAATCTCTTTGCTTTTGAAATCATGACAGCATAAGACGTTCATCTTGCCTGTATAGTACTTGAGTTTAAAAATAATAATATTAATAATATACTCTTTATTTTTTTAATTTTAGATTACTTTGGAATTAATGAACTCTTCTGTTAAGAACATAATAGACTGAGAACGTAATTGTTGAAGTTTGTTACGATCCTCATTTTCTGCTTTCTTTCCTCTTACTCTTTCTTCTCTCTTTTTGTTCTTTACTAGGACATGCCCTGGAAGATGCGCCGCTTTGCAAAACTGGATATGTCTGCAAGGTTGGAACTACAGTCTGCACTTGATGCTGAAATCCGAGCCAAACAGGCTATTCAAGATGAGTTGAATAAAGTCAAAGCTTCCTGTATATCTACAGAGTGGTAAGACTGAATTGTTCTAATGGAAATTTACTTGGCTACCTCCCAGGGAGTGTCATTAAATAATGATTTTAACTGTCTTGTCTGTCAAAATTTGATAATGAATGATATGCCGGGTTCTTATGTGAAAAAAAGACCACGTTTCTCTTCATTGTCTAAGTAGCTGAACACTTACTGGGAAAATCTGAAACTTTTGAGGGGACTTTGAGGTGACGCTTTCTCTTTAATAATATAATCTCTCCTAGTTGTTACAGCAAGTTCAAATGCAAGCAGAGTTTGGGTTTGTATCTTAGAACATACTCTTTTCCATTCTATTGATAGCTGCATTGGGTTAACTGACAAGAATCAATTCTTGCATACTGATTTGCACGGTAATAAGATGTGCTTATGGAAGATTAGGAATTCTTTTATTTCTTCCTCAGAACTCTCTCCCGACGCCCGACCCCCTTAAATTACAAAATTTATTCTGACTTGGGTGAATGCCTGAAGCAGGAGAATAGTAGGAAAACATTCCATTTCTAGGTCTCCAGCTTCAATCTAGCTCAGTTCAACACTGCCCAAAAGAACTATGGAAATCTCTTGGAGACCTGTGAACACAGCTCTAGTGGCATGAGATTTCTTCATAGCACCCACCATTGAAACTGTCATTTCTTTGGTAGCTTGGCCAGAGACATCAAAGACAAAACATGAGCTTTTCTATGCCTACAAGAAAATCCTTGAAATTGGAGTTGGGGCATGTTTAAGAATGACCTTGCACTGCTGCTAGCCATTGCAAGTAACTTCTGGAAAATAAAGGCTTGAATTTCTTTAGCTGTAGTTCTAATTCCTTTTACTAGCTGTTAACTCTATTAAGTGAAGAGATTTTAATAGATGAAATTCAAAACTATGATCAAATACAAAGTACATATTCTTTGCATAGTTCCTGTGATTATGTTGTAATTAGAGTTACACTAAAGCATGGCAAATTTGCCTCAAGAAGAAAGTTAGTCCTGTACTATGATATGATAGTAGTTACGTTTCCAAATTACGAATGCCACTGGGCTGGGGATGCAGTGTTAGTCCTTTGAGTTGGTGTAGGTTGAAGTAGGCACTCAAGCTGAAGTAGGACTTCTGAGCCTCATCTTAGATGCACACCCATTCTGTTCCTCTTACTGCTTTCTCTACAAAAACAATTTTTACAGTAACAATTCTTTCATCCTGCAGTGTCTAAGCACATAGATAGACAATACAAGGCATGGAAATGGCTGCTAGCAGAGAAGGTATGGGATGTGGTGCAAGGATTTCAAATACAAACAAAATGAAGAATTTCTCTTCAGTTGTATTTGAGGAGCACTGACTTGTTTCGGAGCTTTAGAAAAGCAGTTGGACAGGGCTGAAATTGAAATATGTTATCTGTAAAGTGGGAATACTTTGTCCACTTTACTTGGGTGTTTTTCAGGCCAGGTAACATGATGACAGGCAGCATTGTAGATCCTCTGACAACAGGAGAACCAGTGTTTGCTTTGATAGGCAAGGATGAGAAGTGTGGTAGAAATGCATAGTAGTGTTACCTATCAGCTGTGAAATGGAACGCACTGGAACAACTAACTGTAGAGTAACTGAGAAGAAAAGTAGTTAAATGTAATTGATTAGTATCACAGGCACTGTGAATTAACACATAAAAAACCCCAACAATTTTAAGCTTAAAAATACATGTGGTCATCTTTTCTCATTCACAGGATACAGGCTTACACAACTATTCATAAATTAGACATGTGAGCCTATTTAATATGTAAACAGGGCAATTAATTGCTTGTTGCTTTTTTTTAAGATACCATACTAAACAGGTCCTAATAGATTTCTGAATTCATTCTCACATTTGATGACATCATGAAGCTTCCTGAGCTTTAATTTTTAAATAGCATGCAAAGGTGGACCAAAAAACCCGACTTGCATAATGGTTTCTCACTATTTACATAGGTTTTTTGTTTGTATTCTTTTGAAGTAAATTGCAAGAATCTGAGAAGAAGAACATGGAACTGTTGACAGATATCGAAAGGCTGAAGAAGGAGACAGAAGAGCTTAGATCGGAAAAGGGTATGGCAACTGATATCCAAGTAAATAACATGTTTCACGTTCGTGGGTGTATCTTATCAATTAAGTGTCACCTTGCAGCTAAACTATTTCACCAACAGACTTTGGCATACAAAACGTGAGCACTACAATTGAATGTCAAGATATACCCACAGAAGCTGCATTTGCACCTCTAGTATGTACTTGTAATACGCTTCAGTTTTGTTGATATACTTGAAAACCAGTAAGGTGTTATTTGAGTTGGAACTGCATTATTTTTATTTGGCGTGTGTATTTATTGCCAGAAAACTGTTAGAAGTATGGATATATTTGTTGGGTTTTTTCCCCTTTTGATGATGGGTGAAGGTATTTACACTTCAGTACTGATCAGTGTTCTTCATCTATGAATGTTTGGGCCTGTCTACACAAAGAGTAAACAATTGCAGAGGCATTCATAGCATTCATTGGTTTCTGGGATGACTTCGTTGATTGGCTTTGTAACCGCGTAGTGAGCAGCATGGTCATGTTTGCTTTGCTGTGGTATTAAGAGTATGTTCTGGGATTTCTAGAGCATCTGTCTAACAGTATTTTGCATTGTTGCTGGGAGAAGAGACTTTTTGGTAATTCTGAAAGGAAAAAAAAATCATTGAGAGATGATTAATGATTTGACTGATTCTTTGCAGTTCCTGTAGTAGCTTTAATATTTGTATCATATGAGTCACATGGGAAGGAGTGATTTTTCAGGGCAATTGGAATTACTTAATTTTCTGTAGGGAACTGTTTGAACTCCAGAGTTTCAAAACCCTGGCAACAATTGCTGCATAGGGATGTCAAATATTGTTCAGCCTTTGCAACCTAACAGCATGCCAATCAATAATGTAGTGTAGTTAACATTCATCTCCTATATATATAGACCTCCAGGTGCTGGTTGACTGGTAAAAATAATACAAACTTATACAGAACATTAAAAAATGATTGGTGCCAATTAGCAAATAAGACTTAGGGAATTGATATTTATCTTGATGCTTAGCACTGATATCAGGATTATGCTTCTTCCAAGAGCTTGGAGAAGAACTCTTGATAACATCTCCCTGGATACAATAATGATTTGTCATGTTTAGCTTTCATTTATAGATCCTTGAACTGTCTAAAATATATGCATGGTTACTCAGCTTCCAAAGTCTTCTTTTACAGAAGGAAAGGAAAAATTTCTTTAATATTTTACCCTGTATTTTTTCCAGTGTTTAAAACCTTATTGGTTTTGTGAAAATAGAGATAACAATTTACTCTTTTCTTATTGAAAAAAAAAAAAAAGAAATATACTGTTCAAGGAAAAGTTACTTATCATGCTTTTTGCCGGAAGTAGATTAATAAGATTGTACTGCAACCATTCAAATATTTTGAAAGAAATACACCTTAATCAAAAATCCTTATTACCTGTGGAATTGATTTTCTGTTATAAGAAGAAATATATCGAAATTTGAATCATGAACTGTGTGGAGGATTCAAATGTAGTCAATATACAGTGGTAGAGTAACTTCATGTGTGTGGAAATTGATTTCTAGGAAGGGATTACTTAGATTAACACTTGAATCCTTTACTGTTTATAAATGTGTTCCAGAAACTCAGGAGAGTGGGAAAGAAGATTGCTAAAAATGATTCTGTAAAGTAGCAAGTAATTTGAGAATTGGTTTTAATCTTTTACTGAGATTGCAGTGTACTTATATTTTAAAGAGGAAAGGGTTCTTTGTAACTTACTTGTTCAGTATAGGTTATATTTAGAGCAAAGAAAGTGATATGGCCAGTTAGAGTGAGACACTGACATTTTTTAAAAAGAAGTGAGTGACCTTTGATAGCATTAGTCTTTTGAGATGCACACAGTCCTGCAGGCTCTGGTTATAAGAAGTAGACACATATATATATATATGTGTGTGTATATATATAATGTATTTATAGTGTTCAGGAAGCTAGAGTTTGTACATATCTGTGATTTATAGACACACAAAGAAAAGAAGAAAAAAAACCCCAAGATGTATCCGTTGAAGTAAGTTAAAATAACGGTCAAGATGTGCCAGCCTCTGCGACTCCAGAGGATGCAGCGTTCCTCTCTGCTTACTCCCTGAAAACCATGTAAATGGTGTAGCGTGACAGACACATTTGACTCTTTACCCAGGATCATGTTACTCCTGGACGTTCAAAAGTGAGAGATGGCAGACAGGCATAGAGCATGGGTCAAGGAACCCGTGTTACTTGGAAATGCTATTCCTCAAATAGCCTGTTCTGTACATTTTTGTGGAACCTCACCGTTTGCTCAGGCTGTCTTGTCACGGTAACCTATCCAGCGTGTGACTAGAGCAGGGTGACACCTGCTCTGTTAGTGCGTGTGCCTGTATGGCAGGCCGTGCATGTTGCAGATGGACATAAGCACATTAGAAACGTGTGCCTTCTGCATAATAGACACGTATGTACAGTATGTTTTTGTGTTGAATTCACACCCCATACATCCTAGGTTGGAAAAGGTTAATTAAACATACGCTGCTTTCTTAGCAGGTGTATGTCTATTAAAAAAATCTTTCACTCTGGAAAACAGACCAAATGTGAAAACTCATTTTAAAAAAAATGTAGGTGGTTCAGGTGGATACCCAAACCCTGATTCAGCAAGGCAAAGGTCCTCCATGAAAAGATCCTTTTCCTGTAGCTTAAAAACCTGCTGCTGTTTTCTAGGTGTAAAGCACCAAGACTCACAGAATTCTTTCTTGGCATTTTTGAATGCGCCTACCTCTGCTCTGGATCAATTTGAAGTAAGTGTACGGCTATTCTAACTCTCTGTTAAGTCAGTGGAACTACTGCTGTTCTGTGCAGGTTATATGCATATTTGTTGAGAGTTTGCTACTGTATTTTAATTATACTGCCTTATTTATATTTGTGTATAATAATATGTGAGAATTGTTTGTCATTTACAGTGCTGGCTGTCTACTCCTGAACACAAGTAATCATAGTGAATTCTCTCACAAATCCTGAATGCAGAAATTTTCCTGATTTTTGTAGTGACCATAAAAAGCAGAGTTGTTCAAATGGCCTTACTTTGTGTTCAGAAAAATGCTAAGTAATGCAGATACTGGTTTGGTAAAAATGAGAGAAAAAACCTAAATAATCCTTGAATGCATGCAATGAAGTCGTCGGTGCTGTATATTTATTAGGTTGTTTTCACCTTCTATTCGTTTTACACAGATCTGTAAAATCCAGATAATTACTATTCATGTCCTCTCCACAGAACCTATATACTTAAAAAATAAATCTGTTTAATTCCTTTGTCACTTTTAGAAAAAAAGACCAGTTTAGGTAGAAAACCTGGAAGACAAAAATTGAAATGATACTGTCTGTTTCATATCTTATTTTTTTTATCAACAGTAAGCAATGCATCACTTTTCTTTTGAAAGAACAGCTGGGGTGAAATATTGGTTATACTGAATTCAGAGGGGACAAGGCACCACCTTTACAGTTACACATTGGTCTAAAATTTGCCCCTGTTTTTTTCCCTGATGAGTGTACGAGGTCATCACATTTAGCTTTGGAAAAGCATAATCCCTGATGTTATTGATGTTCCAAAATTTACTTTCTTTTCATTGTGTATTCATTAATTCATTGTTCTTTCTTGAAGTCCTCACAATTAATACCATTTTTTTAAATTTCCTTTTTAATTATTTAAAGTTACTTTCAACATAAAAATCCTGTCAGAGTATTGGAATATTATTTTATTAAGTGAATGCTGCAAAAACGCTGGGTTTTTATACAGGTAGTTTATTAACTAATTGTCTATGAAAGGCAATTAATGAAAACTTACTGAGGTAACTGTTACTGGCACTAGTTATTTACAGTTCTTTATTTTTGCACTTTCATTTATACTGAATGGTTTTCTTCATCCATCTCTTTCTCTCTCTCTCTCTCTTTTTTTTTTACTGCTGTTTTCATTAAAATAGGATTCCTTTTCCTCCTCTTCATCCTCATTGATTGATTTTATGGATGACGTAAGTCTTTGACTTTCAAACCAGTAAATCCCTAATAACAGAGATCAGTTAATTGATTTGGAATAGTCAAACATTAATGCAGTCGACTTCAAAAAATCTGCAAGTGCAGTGGTGAACAGAATATTTCTATAATAGCATACTCACACCTATTTATATGGATAGATGTTCAGTTTTAAAGTAATAGCTTTTCTTTAGGTGCGAGTGAAGAATTCTTAATTGCAAACAGTTTTTCTAATGGGGACAAGCTGCTTTTGGGCCACAGCCTGTGGAAAATGGTTCCAAAGTCACTAGCACGTTTATTTCATTTAGTTCTATTGCTTCATTTTATTACTTTATCATTAGTTGTTTCCAAAAGTTTTCTGATCACTTCAATGAAAATGTTTTCCTTGCTTACAGTTAACTTCTGTTTGCTCAAATAAAATCTTGTCTCTTTTTTAGCCTGTCTTGTAAGAAGTAATTTTCATTTTAACTGAAGTGAACTTGTACTTTTTATTACCATTTGAGATGCTAGTTTTCTGTCAGGGCAGTGTTTAAATATTTACCCTAGTTAACTGCATACTAAGGGAATTGAGTTAAAAGCTGAAAATTGACTGCATTATATTTCTTCCAAACTCAAGGAGTAGGCACATAAAAGTAAATAATAATAAGCTTTTTAAAATCCAAGTATATACTATGCATCCATGGTAGAGAACCATCCATTACAACTCTGTAGGTATGTTGTGCGTGTACGTCTGTGTGTGCTTGTATATATGTGTATACCCATACACTCATATTTATACATATGTATTTAAAATAGTATAATCCTATTTGCCTTAAAACATGATATAATTAAATTTATTCTAGAAATGTCTGCTGTGAAGGGTGTAACAGAGTATATATAGTGTATGGGCCTATTCGACTGATTGCATTTCCTTCCACACACTCTGAAAGAATGCTTTTCTTCAAAATGCTTTTTTTTCTATAAATCAGGTATATACCTTAGACAAAATGTGAAGGTAGATCTGTGGTACCATAGTAGAAGGTATTTATCTGCATTTTTGTATAGCATATAGAAAACCTTGCCTTGCTGGTACTGTTGGAATTTTCTTATACAAAAGAAATTAAGAATACAGTTTCCTGTTATGTTACATCTGCAATAAATGAGTAATATTTATATCCTTTATCTGGATTAAAGAAGTGTTTGCTGTGTTGCCTGAGTATTAGGAACACTCAGTTTGTATTGGCAGGTTCTCCCATAGAAAGTTACCTTTAAAAATATCTAATACTGTCTCCTAAAAGCTAAGTTAAAAGAAATGAAGTACGTAAGTGGCAGAGTAGCTGACAATGCTCTGTTTTTCAAAGGGAAGTTTAGGACAAGAAAGTTTTCCTGGTTGCCATCTAGTTAGTTTTGAAGGACATCAGTACTTGATTTTGTATTTATTGTTAGTTGTTTTGGTTTTTTTAAAGGAGGCAGCAATTTTTTTTCCACAAGCATTTTGACAAGATCACTTTTTTTCATCTGTGCAAGTGAATAATTTTCAACTGTTGGCGTACATCCTTTAAGACATTCTTCTTGATCAGTCCACCCCGATCAAATCTTTTCAGATACCCATCTTTTAGTCACTGGTAAAACTCTAGGTATTAGTGTGTATATTGTTGCATGTGAATGACTTAACACACACAGAATCAAACTTCCCATAATACATCTTCAATCTGAGTCCAACAGGAGCGTTTTTTTTCCTTGGTTGCCTTGGGCAAGAGTACATTTCTGGACTGGCCAGGGGCCAACGTCTCTAACACCAGGGCAGATTTCTTTCTCATCTGGCTAAACTGCAATTCAAGAGAATTGACAGGTCAAAGTTAGGAAGAGTACCTTGCAGACAAATACAAGGCTTGTTGAGTTACCTGTCTTTCTAATAAAGAGAAATAAAGCTGATGTCCACGTTAGTAGGTGAAAGGTGGTATAATTAAGTTGTGCTTAAAGTCTGTTCTGCATCTTTCATTTATTGGACAATTACAGGATTCATTCATAGCAAGATTCATAATATACAGCATCTGAATTATCAGAATGGTTATTTATGTTTTAACTCATTGATTTGGTTAAATATCAATGTATTAGGCAGACTTAAATGAAAATAAGGGTATTAAAAAACCCCTCCCCACAGAATGTGACCTCCATTTCCTTTCCAATGTCTCTTTTTGACAGTAGTTACCTTGAAGGGCAGTGTTTCTTGTAGCATTTTGAGAAGAATTACTCTGTGCTCAGCCAGTCCTGAGAATTGTGTAGGTTCTTTATATTAAGACCAAGGAAAAATTAGAAGTCCTTCGGTCAGACTCATGCAGTGCTGCCAATATTTATGGGTTTCAGGAAAGTCTCTCCTCTAATCGAGAACCCAAAGTAAATATTACTAATGGCCCATATTGTTTCTCCAGCCTCTGTGCTTGGAATGACAGACAGAGTGTAAGATAATATGCTGTTGCAGTTACATAGCACTCTTTGCAAGATCTCTGAATTCTATTTAACATGTAGATGTGTAAGCAGCCCTGAGTTTGGCCCACTGGTTATGTTTGGAGTTTACTATGGTGGGTATGTCTTCTGTGTCTGCCATCCAAATACTCTGACTGTTTATAGCACTCTGTGAATGCCTGGAGTTAATTCTAATTGTTTCAGTGAGGAAACCAGTAGCTTTGCAATTTTTTTCTGGAGAGAAATAAAAATAGATACCCTGCTGCCTCTGTAGCCTGCAGATGCTGAGCAAGAAAAGTAGTAGCTCATTATTTAGATGAGTAGCAGTCACGGTTGGTTCCAGCTACCCATCCTCAAATCAGGTTGGCAGAATCGGTGCCTAAATTCTCGTAGCTGTGAAAGCCCACGCGTTCAGAAACGATCTTGTATCTCCTGTGCAGGTGGGAGGGTGCCAAGGGCAGTGGGAGTGGGTTTTGCTGTCCCTGGTTTCTGATTCTGATGGGGAGGGAAGTCACCCCCAGTGACTAATATACTCATTTCTAAATCTTTGCCACTGTTTCTCCTGTGTGTTGCAGGCTGTCTCTCAGTAATGTCTAGGCGTTAAGTCTCCTGTGTTTGCTACAAGTGTCTGATAATGGAAGTGCTGGGTTTTGGTTTTTTTGCCAGGTGGATATTTGTGTATCTCACTAGCAGCTAGAAGCAATCAACTTGTTTTATTTAAAGATGAATTTGTGATTATTTAATAACAATAAAATGGAGTCCCATTTTCCCTTGACAAACTTATTTTCCTTACTTGCTAGAAAATACTATTTTTCCCCTGTTATCAACAGATTACAAATTAAAAGTAGATTTTTTTTAAAGTCCTCCTGCAATTTGTACTCACATGCAGTTCCTATGGGCTTTGGTTGGACTAAACAAATCTGAACTTTGTAAGTAACCACAGAATAAATCATGTTCTGAATTCTCCTTATTAAACAGAATAAGCCATAGTAGTGTGTGGTGAGAGCCCTGACTCTACCTGCACATCCATAATTAAGTTTAGAATAATTCTGGTTCTTAAGGATACTTTAAATTGGACATATTGCGCCTCCAAGAGTTTGCCTTATTCCTCTTATTCAAAGTACAGAGATGCTAACTGTAAATTATTAGCCCAATGTAGTCTGCCGATTCACTGCTATTGTCTGGTGTAAAACTACAGACTTTAAAATAACTGTTTCTTTTATTTTGATGTTTCTTTCCTCTTGTTGCCCCAGAATATCTTGTTTTCAAAATACTTGTAAAAATGAACATGTTTGTGTGTGTCTAAACACTACCTCTGGAGATACAGAGCGACAAATTCTGAGCTGATGTGTGTGTCACTATTTGGTTTTGTAACATATTCTCCTCCTTTCTTTGTTAAAGCGCTCTCCTTCCTGTATTCCAGCTAACAAAGGCAGACGTGTAAGAGGCTGTCCTACTCTATGTGGCCTTTTATTTTTTGCCTGTTGTGTACATGCCTTTGTTTAATGTATGAATCATGTATTTACCTCACTGCATGTTTTGTGCTGCTGCTACCGTTTGCTGCTGCTGCTGTGCTTTTTGTTGTTTTACAGCTGTGGGCTAAAAAGCTTTCGGAGTATTTCATTTGGTAATCCTGTGAGCAGAATATCACAGTAGCGAGGGAAGATGCTTTGGATACTTTCTCATTTCAGTACGAAAGTTCCTTGTGAAAGCTGATCAGGTAGATGCAGGTTGGGAAGATGAGCAAATGTCTAATGAGGGACTGTTTGTTTCCTTGCCCTTAGCAGAGGGCATGTATTGAGTTATGGGAATTGCCTGTAGAAGGCAGAAGTTTGCATTTGGGAGGCATGTCATAGCAAATGATAGAGAATATCACAGGACAAAGATAAATAAATGGAAAGCGGGGAACTGAATAAATTGGAGCATCAAGAGGGCAGGCAAAATTCATACAAGGAAAAATAGAGTTGGATCTGTTGTAGTCTGCTAAGCTGGAAAGCTCTATGGTGTTTCAAAAATCAAGGTGGATTTTTAAACATGATGTTATCAATGCTTTGTCAGACTGAATTGGTACCAGGTACGCTATATCCATTTTAAACTCATACTGTCACTTTTGTTTCTTTTATACACATACAATGATAGCAATAGGAAAGCATACAAAGCATTTGTATTGAATATTCAATAAATAAACGATAGTGCTCAACAGCTCTAATAATGGCCTTACCTATACGGTTCAAAGCACACCGCTCAGTGTCTTAGGCAAGCTTACGGTAACTGCTTGTTTTTGTCGGCTGTGGCTCCAATTCAGAAGTTCAGCTCCCCTCACCATGTTGATATGCTGGCCAGCTTTGACTCAGACCTACACGGGTGACACTGTGTAGACAACTAAGCACAGTCCTGTGGAAGACAAAAAGGCTATTACAATTTGATAGGAAATACTGAAACATGCTTTTGATAATCCAGTGGATGAGTTTAAAACTAATTTTAATGGTGTTAATGTGGTCCACATAAGCTTTTGGCCGTAGTTGAGTCGAGTTGCTTTTGTACTTCATTCTTCTCACTAAAGCAAGGAGTCTGGAAGTTACTGCAGCAATACAGCTTAAGGCCCTGTTTCTGCAGTCTAAGTGGTGGTTAAATTACCTTCAAATTCTGTAATGGTACATCAGGTTCTGTGTGTTTCGCAGGCTTTTTATGTTCATAAGTAAAGTAAAAATACATTTGTTACTGGTTCAGAAAAAAAGTCTTCAACCACAAAGGCTTTGTAGCACATTCCAGAAAAGTTCCATCATTTATGTTATGCTTATATTAAATTTTTTAAGAGACACCATGAAAATTCTTTGGTATGCAGATGCTACTTTGAAAGGGAAAGCCTTTGGAGTATCTGGAAACGTTCATGAAATGATAGATTAGATCTCTCAACTTGCAGAAGAAAAGGAATGTCTGTTTCTTGCTATGAAAAATTTGCCTGTAGTTGCTCATTGGGCTTATTTTTTTAACACTGCTTTTAAGAAGAAGGTAGAATTTTTCAAGGTAAACAGTCTTTGAGTGGACTCTAAGTTATGATGTGTTTAGACTTGATTAAAAAAAAAGTTTTAAATCACTGAAACATGTTATGTGTCTGGGGATTTACTACTTAAAGGCATCAATGTTTCTAATACTGGATAAAGCTTCCAATTATTATTTGCGTCTGATAAATCTGAGCACAAAATGTTTGCTTTACTGCTGATTTTTGCCTCAATGCTTGAAACACATGATCTATGTGTAGAAAACAGGTGTTATCCCAGTTTGAGCATTTCCCATTTTCATTACAGAAAGACTTGCAGGCATCTTAGTATGCCTAAGTTGATTAAGCTGATGTGCTTTCTCCACTAGATTTTATTTTTTTTAAGGCTGTGATAAAACTAGAAGCCATCAAAATTAACTCACTACTATTTAAAAAAAAAAAAAAAGAGGAAAAAAGAAAAAACTGTAACTGCACCTGTTCACTACCATGACTGAGTTTCTGGAGAACAGGACTGTATATGCATGTATCAGATTGTCTTGGCAATATATTTCATTCCCAAAAAGCAGTAAAGTTTGTGGAATTCTTAGTATGGTGTCAATGGCAAATGGGATAGAAAACTCTGGAATGTTCAAATGATTTTTGTAAACATCGCTGCGTATTTTAGTTTGTGTGCAAGCTAGGCAAATCCTTAGCGATGGGGAACTGACGATAGCATTGCTCCAGAAAAGCCAGGCATGCTATGGAGCCTTCTGTAGGCCTCCAGCTTTTAGTTTTATTATTAGTGAAGAAAACCATCCTCATCTCGCTTTAATAAAAAAAAAAAAAAAAACAACATAGAAAACTTTGATGTGAAGATGTCTTGTTTTCAAGGAAGAATCCTGCATTCACTGATTTTTATTTTTTTTAGTCACACTGACAAAAGATGACTTGTTGTCCAAGATACCTGGTCGTACTTATATTCCTTGTTGTTCAGTAAAGTTCTGTGTTGGTTTAGTTTCATTGTATATCAAGCACTAGGAAAATAGTCTCCTGAAGAAGCTGTATTCCTGGTAAGGATGTCTTTGTAGTTCAGATAGGACACAAAACCCCCCTCAATTCTCTGTGTATGTAATTAACACTAACCTAAGGAAATATGTTGTTTGCTGTGCCTTTTCTCCTTATTTTCTCCTAAATATGTTTGCAGTGATTTACATGGGCTATATGGGAATTAATTTCTAACAAATCTCTACTACCAGTGGACAAAACCCAATAGTGTTTAGAAAACAGTCACCCTTTTAGAATGCTGAATTACAAGTCTCTTCCAGTGTCTATCAGGCCCCTGAACTAGCAGCTCTTATGCATGTGCTCACCTCTCAGCAGAAGCCTTGGCGTGTTCATGTTCAATAATTTTCATTGCATTGTTTTACCTTAATTAGGAAGTTGCTTAAAACTGAATTTTTATTCTCTCAGTTCTCTCTTAGGAGTTCTACTGTTCCCATACCTTATTTTGGTAAGAGTCAAGAATTCTTCTTTAATGATGTCTTTGATTTATTTTTTTGGTTGTTTTTTTCTCTTGAATTGTTCTCCTAGATTGACTCAGTTGAGAATTTCACATTGTCTAATACTCCATCACGGGATGAAGATAGCAAGTCTCACCTCCATTCAAGATCAAGGTCTCCTTCTACAGCTAGTGAGATTGAACCAATCGAGGTACTTCAGTGTTGATGAATTTTATTTTTTTTTTTGGAGTAACAGTTTCATTCATATAACAGTTACTATTGCAAATAATTTTGTTTAAGCTCACTCCTCTGCAGAGACTATTTAGGATTTTGTAAAATAGCCTTCTGCGCTAGTGGTGAACTGTATTTTGGGGAATGTTGCATTTTCTTTCACATACAGTTAATTAATTAGGGAGGGGAACTGTGTTGAATCAATTATTAGATACAGTCTCTCTTCATAACATATCCTCTATCATGAATATTTAAGAAATGTTGTCGCACAGGTAATGTTATACTGTAGTTTGTAAGAGCATGTTTTGGAGTCCTGATGAAAATCTTGTCAATAGGAAATATTATCCAGGCTCTGCAACAATAATAATGTATCCCTTTCCCTGTTAAAAAAATTAACTCTGATTATTTTACATTAGAAAAGATTCAACCAAATGTTTAAGATAATACAAAGTTTTTTGACATTTAAGACATGAATCTTGCACGTTTTGCTGAAAAGATTTGCTTTTCCAAGTCCTTTCCTGTGTTGCTCAGTTTGATTTCATTGCTTGTATGTTTGGGGATGGGGTCTGTGGGATGTTGTAGTGTTTTTACTTTATTCAGGCTATGTTTGATAGTGTGTATTTGATGTCTTACTGATCCTTTGGGGACTATGTTCAGGTTACAGATCATCCTCCCCGTTCAATTCACACACCAACCATGAGGACAGCATATATTGGATCGGGACTCTCTGCACCAAAGGTATTCACTCAAGCGTTCGCACTTTTTATACAGGAAAAATATCACTCCTGAGCAACAGCTTCGGGAGAACTGTTTATCACAGTAATCTTACCGGAGCTGCCTAGAAGGGTTGCTTATATGCAAGCTGGTTGCTTTCTAAAATGTAGAACCTCTCATTCTTATGTTATGTGGTGTGACGAGTTGTACTAGGCATTGCACTCTAGCAGCATTTGATGATAGGAAAAACAGTAGTTTGGACATTAGAAAGCAATAAGCGAACCAGAATGTGAAGAAAGAGACTTCCTAGAGATAAAGTGTTTTCCACAGTGCCTCTGTGTACAAAACTGATGCCTCTATGGGCTGGTCTCGGATTAGCACATCTGTGTGCTAATTAGATGATTATTTTTGAGAAGAGGCAAAGAGTAAGCCTAAAATGAAACTGCAGATTTGCATTTTTTATAAGCAATGTAGAGTGAGCGCTACAGCCAGCATTGCAGCACTGGGCTGGGAGAAGGAATTCCAGTTTTTCTGTCTTCTGGCTTTTTACTTGCATAAATACTGACCTTACGTCAGCTGTTAACATTAATTTGCCGTTGGCCAAATGAGCCAGTTAGTGTATGGTAATTCACAGTGAACTGTGTATTTTCAAGCAAATGAGGAATAAGATACAATATATTAAAGGAAAAATTTTCTCATAAAAGTTTCAGAAGTGCCTCAATGGCTTAGGAATCTTCTGTATATTAAAAAAATGACAGTTTTTCTGCAATTAATCAGTAAAGTATGTCTTTCTAACAGAACCGTTTCTCTGCTTTGATAAATTGAGAAGCAACAAAAGACTTCGTTTGTGTAAAGGAAAGCTTAAGTTTGAGCAGGCGTGTTCTGGTGGCAGCATCTTAGGAGATCAATTTAAAAATGTGCACTTGAAATAATGTGAAACAGTTTTACTGTGCACATTTCATTTTTGCAAATATTTTTGCTGAGTAAGTGATGATTTGCTTTCTAATTTATTATGTTCCCTAAAGAACCTTTATGATTGCATCCATTTTTAAAGCTAAGTATTGTTTCCCTGCAAGTTTCAAAACAAGACATCCATCTGTAGATAGAAAGCTTCCATTGTAACAGTAAAGCTGTCATTAAAAATGGATGAAGTTTGAGCCCTTAGCTGTGATACCTTATGCTGTGAAAAACAGGAAAGAGAATAAAATTTTAATATACCTACCCATTAAAGTAGTCTGCAAAATTGTCTTATTTCAGATCGCAGACATTATCCAGGTTGTTTAGACAGCCTTTGCGTTCACCCTTTCTCCACCCACCAGTTGTTAGTTTGCTGGGAGTTTTATTAGAAAAGCAAAGCAGCTTCCTGGATTTTATATAAGGACTTTTATGAATCATACAACCACATTATGTAATCATTTAGCCTTGATATCATAGCATCAGCACTGCTATCCTTGAGGGCAGAGAGAGAATTAAAACACTTACTCATATAGTCTGTATTCCCAAGAACTAACAGGAAGAAAAGACCTTTCAAAATCAACATCATCTATACTCTTATTTTTAAATTGAGTGTTCTGAAATTGCCTGTGCCTGACATCATGAAACTCAACTTTCTAGCATAAAAATTAGAATTTTGAAAAAGTTTGATATTTTGCTTTAAACTAAGGCAATGCTTCTTACAGAGGAATGTCGAATTTGCAGCTTAGAAAATACTGTGGTGGGTTGACCTTGGCTGACCGCCAGGTGACCACCGAGCACATTCGTACACACGTGCAACGTCAAGAGCAGAATGGAATAATTTTGGCAATTGTCCTATCTGCAATGGAAGCAAACTCATATTGAGAGACAAGGTCCAGTTTCCATGGTTTCATTTAGAGGATGGTTTAAATTATCACTAACAATTACTGATAAGGAATATTTTTCAGCCCAGATCTCATTTCAGTAAACACATATAAGCTACCTTTTTAAATCCACCTATGCATTCTTATATCTGTGAAAAAATAACTGTTCTTCAGAAGCGTTAGAGGTATTAACATCCTTGTCTGCTTGTTTCACAGCCTAAAGCCCACCAGTTTGTAGTGAAATCATTTAATACACCAACAAAATGCAATCAGTGCACATCTCTGATGGTTGGTTTAATACGACAGGGCTGTACTTGTGAAGGTAAGCACTTGTGAGGGCAGGAAGTGTGAACTGAAGTTCTCATAGATGCAAATTGCACAGTGAATGTTGTGGTGTGATAATGCAGAAGTCTTCTGTTTATATTTTGAATAACAGAATATATTCTTGTGCTTCTGTCTTTTAACAGTAGAAGCCAAACAGTTTGAACATCTTGCGTAACAGATTAGTTGAATAAGCACGTCCCTAGATAATTTAGTTGATGGTAGAAGAGCTTAGTTTAATTTACTGAAAATAGCAATAAGGGACCACAGTAGTGGTCAGGTATGCTGGCAGCAGATTTGCTTTCTGACTCAGGGCAAAATGTAAGACAGCTTTGGCATTCAGTACCAATTTTGCTTCTTTCCAGGACTAATTTGTTCTAGGTTTGTATGTGCACAGAATGGCACTCATGAATTAGAGGAGCTTTCAGCTTTTCGTTTACTAGTAGAGTTGGGCCTAGAGGAAATCATAGAGATTATCTCAGTATGAGCTTCTGATTAAGCTCTTTCTTACATGGATGAAACCAGACCATGTATCTGTAGACCTCTGAAATTGAGAAAATCAGAATTTAGAGCAGATTAAAGCATGAATGGCTGCTCTGCACAGACTTATATTTCTGTCTCAGTGTAGCAAAGTTCAGTGAACCTATTCAGTTGTTGGTCAAAAAAAGGGAGGATTCCTTTATAAATGTCATCAACATTATCATAGCTTTTGCACTGCACAAGAAATAACCATCAAATCTTTTTGTGTTTTCTCCTCCTCACAAGTATGTGGATTCTCTTGCCACGTGACATGTGCAGACAAGGCTCCTGCAGTATGTCCAATCCCTCCCGAACAGACTAAGGGGCCTTTGGGAATAGATCCACAGAAAGGCATAGGAACAGCTTATGAAGGACATGTCCGAGTAAGTATCAGGTAGCTGTGTTTGAGGCATTTATATTAAATTTGTTGTTTTCCAGAGCTGGAATTAAACTGTAACTGGGGCATTGTGGAGGATGGATTCAATTATACCTTAAGGTAACAGTTTGGAAGCCAGAACCTAAATTTTCACAAAGCATCTCTTAGCGTTTTCAACAGTAATTCTCGCTCCATCTGTCGGCCATTGTGCTTTGAGTTGGTCTTGAATAGTCCATCTCTAGAGATCAGATCATCTTCCAGGGCCTGTGAGTTTTTGAGTCTTTCTGTTGATGCTAGTGCTGTCTGGCGTCGTAGGTGTGGATACTTGCACATAAATACTAAAATTACTCCACGTAGTTTTGGCCGTATTCCTGTTGGCCAACTAGGGACGGGTTTCTTTCTCTGTATTTATTCATATAGCTTTGAGTTTGTGAAATAAGAAGAAAGAAGCCATGTTGCTATGAATTTTTAAAATAATATGTTGTGGTGTCTGTGTGGCTGTGTTTGATGCTCTTACTGCACCTGTGGTATTGCTTATGTTGCTTAATGTTATCACTGAATAAAAGCTTGTCAGCCTAGATGAGAGAAATGATTTTTATACTGTCTATTTGATTTTTGATTGCATGCAAACTTACAGAGAGTTGATCAGAATTTATTTTGCTAAAGGTACCAAAACCAGCTGGAGTAAAGAAAGGTTGGCAGAGAGCGCTGGCAGTGATCTGTGATTTTAAACTCTTCCTATATGATGTAGCAGAAGGAAAAGCATCCCAGCCCAGCGTGATAGTGAGTCAGGTCATAGACATGAGGTAAGGTGTTTGGTCCTGAGTGGGAGCTTTTCAGAGGCACTGGGAGGTTTTTTCCTGCTTTTCCTTTTTGTGAAGTCAGTAAGCAAGCTCCAGAGCTTTTATGAAACACTGTAATCCATGTTGAGAGCCTCTAATTTTCTGGAAAAAAGCTGTATTTGCAGTTAGCCTGAACTACACTTGTGTGTTCATATGTGGCAATTTAAACTTCCATTACTACATCATGTGCCAAAATGTATCTGTTCAGCTGTGTAGGAGATCTGGGATGAATAAAGAAGAAAAATACATTCTTTTGGGGTTGAATAGAATTTTGAAAGGACAGATAAAACTTTATTATAGGATAAAACTAATACAATTTTTGATTCAGAAGGGCCAAAGAGTTTATTCCCACTGTCTTCAGTATTACTGAAATACTACCAACTTCACTGAAGGTTGCGAACATTTAACATACCAACCAAGTAAAGCTCTTCTCTGAACTAGCTTAGTGTTTATCCAGGAAGTCTCAAACAACTGTAGCTTATAGCTTCTAGTGAGTTTGGATTTTTTTTTATGAGAGAGTTGGAGAGGTTCTTGGTCCAGGCTTATTTTTTAAGTTTGATTTTATTTATTTTTTTAAAAGATTTTAATTTAAACAGACAATGCCCAGATACTCTGAATAGATCAGAATATCAACATTTATGAGGAATTAATTATGCAACATTGCATTTGTGAGTTTCATCTGCAGATAAAGAGGAAAAGGTAATTTTAAAATTAGATCTCAGTACTGTCTTCTTGTGTCCTTCACAAAACAAGGCTATTGGTACTATGGAAATATAAGTAAAAAACCAAGCATACAGATTTTACTCTTTAACAATTTTCCAATTATGTTTGTGATGTCCATAAGGGATGAAGAATTCTCAGTGAGTTCTGTCTTGGCCTCAGATGTCATCCATGCAAATCGAAAAGATATCCCCTGTATCTTTAGGGTGAGTATTATGTCTTGAACCTAGTAACCCACAAGTACAGAGTTTCCCAGTGTGATGTACGGTGTGCATTCACTGACAGCTTGCTAGTATTTTATTTCATTTGCACGTTCTGGCCGTGTGGTATCCATAGCAGCAGCAGCAATGCATAAGGATCTGTACATATATCATTTTCCTGGTAAAAAAATAGCACTGGTACATTTAGACAAGCTCTCATCTTCCCTTTACTGGGTTTTATTTTTTTTAACCTTCACAATAAGACGTACTTTTCTTAACCTCCTGTTCGTCATTTGAAATTCTTCTGTTCTTCATGACCTTCTACATTTTCATTTCCTAAAGTTGCTTTCTGCTTCTCAATTTAATTTGTTGTGTTATTTGTGAAGCTTTTATTTTATGTTTTTTCTTCATAAATAATGCATTTGATCTCTGCAAACTCTCATTCATCAGGTAGTCAGTATAGAAATCTAGTGTAAAACACTCATCAAAATTTACGTCTGTTATCTACTATCAGGATTTTGCCATCATTGGCTTTTTCTAATATTATTTTTACTAGATAGTCTATTGAAGTTTGACCTCAATGAAATATCCTTGGTCTCTTATTGATTCTCCTATCATTTCTTTACTATGTTGTTGTATTTCACTCCTTGTTTTTCCGGCTTTCAGACTGTGCATCAGTCTGCATGCTGAGAGGAGATAAACCTACAAAAGGAGCTTTCACATTTATCTATAGTAGCTGTACCAAATACATGAAAAGGATCATAGATCATTCTTCCAAAGACCATTCCTGTTGCATTAAATTATTACAGAAAAAATTATTGGTCTTAAAAAAAAATACAGAATATTTTGTAAGAAATGCTTTTCATTATAAAATTGCCGTGAGAAACGGCTTACTACCTTATTTAGGGCAGACATTTCCAAATTATAGAATAAATACAAATGCCTTTAGAATAAAGCCAAAGTTTTCTCTGTTCTTTGCTGAGTTATTCACATCTACAGGTTTTTCTGCTGTGGGTTCTTGATTGAGATAGTGTTTTCTATTAACTGAGTCTAAATTTTTGCATTCTTAGTTCAGACAGCTAATTAGAAGGGCACATACAGGCATCTGATACCCTTGTAGAAATGATCATGATGAAATTTTTTATTGCTTATAAAATATATATTTCAAAATTTTCCAGGTCACAGCTTCCCAGCTCTCTGCATCCAGTAATAAGTGTTCAATCCTGATTCTAGCAGACGGTGAGAATGAAAAAAGCAAATGGGTAGGAGTGCTGAATGAATTGCATAGGATCTTGAAGAAGAACAAACTCAAAGACCGCTCAGTCTATGTTCCCAAAGAAGCTTATGACAGCACCTTACCCCTCATCAAAACAACACAATCAGCAGCAATCATAGGTATGAAATAAGAAGAAAACTCTAAGGAAAATTGGTATGCTAAGAGCATGATTTTTGCAAAAACATGTTACAATGCCGTTATCTACTGAATAAAGAGTAAAACATAGTGGGTTTATTCCATATGTAAACATGTATGGATTTGAGAGAGAAGTGCAATTCACCACCCAGTACTTTTGTCAGATCTTTAAGAATATTCCCCCTATTCACACATATTCATAATTATGAATAATTTTGACTGAGAATTGGGCATTACTCTAGTGTTATTCTATAAACATAATTCCTTAACTGGGCAAAATTAGCATTATAGAATAGATGTAAATCACTGACTTTACAAAATCTGCTTGTGGGACTAGAGAGAAAACGTAAAAGCAGAGAATGAATTCAGTAATTTTAAATGTTACTGCCTAAAATATGTTAAACTTGGATTATTTAAATAATTTAAAGGTGATATTATAGTTATTTCAAAGTCAATAGTACACTTATGTGCTCTGAATGGTTTGTTAAAAATCATGTTTCTTGGTATTACTTATACTAACAGGAGAAAAGACTTATTTTTTTTTTTTAGAAATTTGAAAGGTTGGGAGGTTACCAGTGGTTTTTTTGTTACATGAATGTGTTGGATTTGGCTTTATATTTGTTTATTTCAAGATATTAAACTGCCTCTGTTAATCAGATTTATCATTACTGTCGAAGAAGTATTTCCAAAGAAAAATAACTCTTTTTATTTTTTTTTTTCCTTGGTATCATAGATCATGAAAGGATAGCATTGGGGAACGAAGAAGGGTTATTTGTTGTGCATGTCACCAAAGACGGTAAGAGATTAGGAACTGGTAATTACAATTTCCCTAATATCAAATAATCAGAAAGTGACTTCGCAACTTTTTTTCGCTTTCAATATCCTCCAATTTCATTTTTTTCAACTTACTACATTATCAGCTGGACAACTCCATGTGAGAGCTGATAATCAAGGTGTTCTGTGTGCTTTCTGGTTTGGGTATCCTTTCCAGTAACAGAGGTCTAGCATCTGGCATGTAGCTGAAGGGTTTGTTCCCTTGTTTGAAGCAGGCTCAATGCTGAATTCAGACGAGGTTGCCCAGGGCTCTCTCCAGTCGGGCCTTGAAAATCCCCAAAGAAAGAGGTTCCACAGTCTCTCTGGGCTGCCTGTTGCAAGGTGTAATTCTTCTCACAATGAAACGTTTTCTTTGTATATCCAGTTGGAACCTCCCTCCGTTTCAATTTGTGACCAGGGTATCCTCTTCTGCTCTGCACCTCAGTAAGGAGCCTGGCTCAATCTTTTCTGTAACCTGCTTCTTGGTACTGGAAATTAAAACTTATGTTCAGTATTGTAAAGAGATGCAATGGCAGATGCCCAAGCTAATTCAACAAGCAACATGTTTAATTGTATGTTTGAGTTCTTTGAGGGTTTCCCTTTATTCAGTAGTTTTGTGGCTATAATCTGTTTTTTGAAATGAATACTGAAATAATAGAGCGATTGATATTGCATGGGATCTGCTCCTCTTTTTCTGATGAGGAAAAGCCAAAGGTCTATCCAGCATTGCCACATGTGGTACTATTAAAATACAAGTTTTGATTCTGTCCTTTTTAATATTGCAGGGAAGCAATAAAGTGAATTTCTTGAGTTTACTTCATAGTTTATCGTTACAAGTAGAGATGGTTTAATCAATTCACACTTCAACACTATTTACTTGGATTTGGGGGTTTTTGTTTTGTTTTTTTTTAGAGATTATCCGTGTTGGTGACAATAAGAAGGTTCATCAGATTGAGCTTATCCCAAATGAACAGCTCATTGCAGTAATCTCAGGACGAAACCGTCACGTGCGGCTTTTCCCTATGGCTGCCCTGGACGGAAGGGAGACTGAGTTTTATAAGCTGGCAGAGACAAAAGGCTGTCAGTCAATAGTTTCTGGACATGTGCGCCATGGAGCTCTTACGTGCCTGTGTGTAGCTATGAAAAGGCAGGTCCTCTGTTATGAACTAAATCAGAGTAAGACACGTCACAAAAAGATCAAGGAGATCCAAGTCCAGGGGAATGTCCAGTGGATGTCAATCTTCAGCGACCGTCTTTGTGTGGGCTACCAGTCAGGTTTCTTAAAATATCCCCTTCACGGAGAAGGGAGCCCATACAGTCTACTCCATCCAGATGACCACACACTATCATTTATCTCACAGCAGCCAACTGATGCCATCTGTGCAGTCGAAATCTCAAATAAAGAATACCTGCTGTGTTTTAGCAGCGTAGGGGTTTACGTTGACTGCCAGGGCCGAAGATCTAGACAACAAGAGTTGATGTGGCCCGCAACTCCATCTTCTTGCTGTAAGTTGCCCTGTGTGTCAGTGTATTTGCTGTTGTACATTGAAGTGATCGCTGCTTGTATTAATATCCACAGGAAGTGAAGTTCAAGGATAATTACCTGACAGGTAAATGAACGCTCTCAGCTTCTGTCAGCATGTTTAATCTAGTCAGAGGGTTTCATCCTGACCACACTTACGCTAGTTTTGACAGCTCTGTCACTGACCTCCACTGCTGTAGCACAAAGAGGAATCACGGCTCAGGATTTCTCACCTTGATGTCAAATTTCTAAACACATGGCCTGAGCTCTAAACCAGCTGAAAGTCTCGGGTCTTACAGAGACTAGTGGGATCTTTAGGCATTTGCTACCACTGATAGTGGACTGTTGTTATTTAAAGTCTGAAAATTTCGTTGTACTTTGGCTGAGCATTGTGATTCAAGCTTTCTGGATGTTCAGAGTCATCAAGATCTGGTAGTTTGACTTGCTTTTCTCTAATGGTGTTTATTCCTACTTACTGGGTTTTTTCTTTTCTTTACTTACTCCTTCAAACTCTCTTCCTGTGCAGTTTTTATTGACGCTCTT